CCCCTGCCCCCCCCCCCCCAATCCAGGCAGGTTCTGAATTATCCAGCGGCCTCCCCTCCCCTGAAGGGAGAAGATGGGAAAGAACCAGACACCGATTGGCTTTGTTTTCCCTAGTATTATTTTGATCATGGTTTGCACACAGAAAACGAGACTGAAAGGCTGTGTCTAGACTACATGGCTCCGTCGACGGAGCCATGTAGATTAGGGTTGTAGGCAAAGGCAAATGAAGCCGCGATTTAAATGATCCGGCCTCCCCTCCCCTGAAGGGAGAAGATGGGAAAGAACCAGACACCGATTGGCTTTGTTTTCCCTAGTATTATTTTGATCATGGTTTGCACACAGAAAACGAGACTGAAAGGCTGTGTCTAGACTACATGGCTCCGTCGACGGAGCCATGTAGATTAGGGTTGTAGGCAAAGGCAAATGAAGCCGCGATTTAAATGATCGCAGCTTCATTTACATTTACATGGCTGCCACGCTGAGCCGACAAACAGCTAATCAGCTGTTTGTCGGCTCAGCGCGGCAGCCATGTAAATGTAAATGAAGCCGCGATCATTTAAATCGCGGCTTCATTTGCCTTTGCCAAAACAACAAATCTACATGGCTCCATCGACGGAGCTATGTAGTTTAGACGTACCCAAAGAGCTTTCCTGAGACCATCCCGTCATGTAAGTAATAGAATCCCTGCCTATCCATGGGCCCTGCCCCATTTCTTTTGGCGCTCACTTGCAAAACTTCAGTACCGCCGCTCTGGAGTCCACAGTGTAGCACGGTGGACTCACTCTGGCCCCGATCCAGCAGAACAAGTATCGTGGGAGCACGTGAGCAGCTCCAGAGATACCGACAGGACGATCCTTGCCTACATTGCGCATGGGGGGAGAATATCTACGCCCACTATTGGGAAAACCAATGCAGTGGTACGATCCCATTGGATTAGATTTGGGGAGAGAAGCGGCATCTCCGAGGCAGCCCCAGGGAGGTGTGGTACACGGGGCCGCTGGCCTCCAGCGGACTGTGAGCTGCATGACCCAGTCAAGGAAACCCCGGCATAGACACAGGCCCTGTTAGCCACTGAGCACCCCATAGGGAACCGACCGATGGCCACGAAGGCATCCCGCACGTCTCCAGACATGTGCTTCCGGATGGTGTGCGCCACGTCGTGGTTGGTCATTTTAATGAACTCTTGGAACACTAAGGACCGAAGGAGAAGAGAGCAAGTCACCAGCCGGAGCGTACTAAGTCCCGCTCCCCCCCCGTCCCACGGCTGCTCTAAGCTCTGCAGCGGGGCAAACCAGCTGACCCCAAGACTGGGAGGGGAGCAGGGCACAAAGCCCCCGATGCTCCTCCTTTGGGTCTCACCCACCTCCCATCCTACCAGACCCAGAAGTGACTGTTAGGAAATACAACCCCGCACATGGCTAAGGCAGAAGGAGTTGGCAACCAGAACCCAGAGACCTCCACTTGCAGGCCTGCCACACTTCCCCTCGGACTAAAGGAAAACTTCCATCTTCGTATCACCCTCTTGCATCACCCGACTCGGGGGAAGGGGGGCGGGCGATAGAGGCTCATGCTTCCAGGAAGCAGGGGGGGGGGGGAGGGGGAGCCACACAGCTCAGAGCAAAGCATTTGCCCCTGGTCACAGGGCAAGAAGCTGGTGGAGAACACGCTCCTACCTCTCCGGAGATGGGGGAAGCTCCGGGTGCACAAAATGCTCAAGAAACGGGTTTCCAGAGATGTGGAGTCACCGCTGGAAACGTCAGAGAGTTTCTGCAAAACCAAGCAAGAATGAAGGGGGAGAGGAGACGGGGGTGTGCTACACACCCTTTTTCCTAGGGCCGTCGCCTGCAGAATTTCAGTCCAAGAAGCTTTTCAGCAGAAAAACGGCTTCTTTGACAAATTGGAGGATTTTCCCCAAAATAAACTTCCACTTCTCTTGAAAACAGTGGGATGAAAACTGACACGAAGGGAAACCCAGTTACTGAAACATTGTGGTTTCCAGTGAAAACCTGAAAAATTGCAACACCAAGGATTTTCTGTTCAGTTCTTGTCAAAAACGTTCGACAGGGAAAGTTGATGATTTCCCAACCAGCTTGGCTCCCTAGCTTGGAGTCTGGTCCAGGGGGCCGGACTTGACAACTTCCTGAGGTCCCTTCCAGAATTGCTGGGATGCCAGGTTTAACTCAGGCCTCGCCTCCACACAAAAGCTGTAGCGCTTTTATGATCCCGGTGTAGTTGACCCCCCGAGTGTGTGCGGGTGTATTGGTGCAAAGGGACTTTGTTCCTACAGGAAAGAGGGCTAGGCGCTACTGAGGTAAAGCACCTTTATCCCGCTAGAACCGAGTGCCCCCTAGGGCTGCTCCAATTGAATTATTCCCGTAGAAAGTCACCCCCCAAACAGACATAGTTCAACCGGTCTAAAAACGGCACAGGCCTCCATCTAAAGCCAGCGTCACCCCTCTCCGGGAGCAGCCTGCACGCAGTGGCGGGGTGCTGGCTGGGCTGTACACACCCGGAACACCCCCACTGGCATGTTGTGCACGAGGTCGTGCTGTGCGGAGGATGCCATTTGAGGAGCCCACGGACCCCTGTGCAGCCAAAGGGCTGGCACGCTGTTCCGGCTCTACCGCACCGGTGCCCCTCAGCACGGGGGCCTGAGCCGAGGCTACTGGAGTCCGTGGAGTTCTGTCCTTGACGTCAACGGGAGCAGGAGTGGCTCCCAACTGTTCCCCGTCTGCAGGGGCTGGAAATGGGCCCAGCTCCCTTCTCCTCGCCCCGGCCTGCCTGTCCTAGCGCAGCACCTTCCCAGTTAGGCTATGTCTACACACGCGGCTTCTTGCACGAGTAACATGCAAATGAGGCTAAGCGTGGAATATCGCCGCGCCTCATTTGCATACCTAATGAGCCACCATTTTTTTCTGAAGAGGCTCTTGCACAAGAAGGAGCTGTCTACACTGCCCCTTCTTGCGCAAGAAAAACCCTCTTGCGCAAAGCCGTTCTTCCTGAAAAGTAATAGGGGTAATGGCATTGCACAAGAGGGTTTTTCTTGCGCAAGAAGGGGCAGTGTAGACGCTCTGTCTAGCGCAAGAGCCTCTTCTGAAAAAAATGGTGGCTCATTAGGTATGCAAATGAGGCTCGGCGATATTCCATGCTTAGCCTCATTTGCATATCACTCGTGCAAGAAGCCGTGAGTGTAGACATAGCCTTAGCGTGCACCTCAGTTAAGCAGCTTCAATTCAAGCTCCCAAGGCCCCCTTGAGGCCGCCAGACCCTCCTGCAGCAGTGCCAGCGCACGTCCAGTCAAGCCCCCTGGGGCTCGGACAGGCTGGTCAGTCCGTCTGGGGCAGCGATGGGCCACCTAGGCTAGTGAGTGGCCACATGCGGGGCCCTTCTCCATCTCAGAGGGCTACAAGATTGTCGTCCCCAAGACGGTCCCCTGGGTCGATTTGCTCACTGCGCTTGCGCCCCTAGAACTGGCGGGGGGGGAGGGGAGGTGCCGACTGAACCGTGGCAGCGCTGGGATCGGACGCAGAGGGAGCCCACGGTTCTCCCAGTCGGTGCCGTGTGCAACCAGCCCCCGCCTCACGTCACGTGCCCTGGCTTTACGTGCGCGGCACGTCAGTAACACCGGAAGGAAGAAATCGACGCAGACAGAACCCAGCGGAATCCGGCAGCCCTGCGTGTGGGCCACGGTCACAAAACGTCTCACGGGCCACACACAGAAGCCCCATGGGCTGCAACTTGCCCAGCGCTGCTCTGGGGGCTGCCGACGCCTCCGTGGTTTACTGGGCGTGCAGCTCCAAAGCCCATGCTGCTGTACATCAGGAGTAACCCCCCAAGGCAACGTGGCCACGTGGCATATCGCTAAACGAGGCCCCGGGGCATCCTGTCGGAAGAGTGGGGGGGAGGGGACAGCTGGGCCAGCGCACACAGCATTATCTGTGACTGTTCTAGCCTGCAACGCCGAGGCAGGCGGGGGCAAAGGTGGAAGACATAACGGAGCAGGCAGACCTATGGAAAGCTGGGGGGCAGGGTAGGGGGAGTCGCCCCTACGTGGGCCCACGGTGCTGCTCCCTTTGGTGTGACCTGGGACTGCCCTCGGAGGGACCCGGCCTTCACTCACATTTCCCAGGCGCTCTGGGTGGACCCTAGAACAGACACCTGCCTGGGGGCACCATGACATCTGGGGCACCAACTGTCCCAGAGTTCGGGGTGCCCTAGGGCAGCTGCGTATCGGTGCTGGCTCCAGCGGCCACCCCCTCTCCTGGCCAGCCCCCCGTGGGCTCAGTTCCAGCTCCGGCAGCCACCCCATTCCCTGGCCGACCCTCTGGTGGGCTGTGCCCCACTGCTGTGCACCAGGCGGTGGGGAGCGCAGGCCAGCGGACTTGTGAGGAGCAGGGGGCGGCTGTGCAGTGGGCCAGAGAGAAGCAGCTGTTTCCCCTTCCACGCTTCTCTCTGTTTGGCTGCGTGGCCGCCCCCTGCTCCTCCGGCCCACGTGTGCGCCGCTCACCACAGCCTGTACCCCCACCTGGTCCCCTGAGGCTGCCAGGAGGGCCTCCTCCCCTGCCCTGCGCCTGCCACCTGCAGCTCTGGGCCTGCCCCCCACAATGTATGCCCCTGCAGTTCCCCCCCACACACACACACAGAGCGGCCACCCCCGGGCAGGTGCTTGCACTGTGTAGGGCACCAGCACTGGCAGGGACGGCCTTGAGGGCCCCCATCACTGGTCTTGTCACTCGGGTTCCCACGGGCCCTGCAGGGGGGCGGGGGAGGGCGAGACATGGAGGGGTTGGACCAGAGCTTAGGCTGCTCCTCAGGCCACGGCGCACCCGGGCTCAGACCCGGAGCCCATGCTGACCTCCAGGGAGAGCAGTGACCAGGGAAGGATTTGGGATTTGGCGGGCGGGACCCCTGGGAGCTCACAGCGCAGAGAGCCCCTACGAGGAGCCTGCAGCCTGGGCGTGCAGTGGGCTGCTGTTCCGGCCCCCGCCCTCTCCGCCCGCGGGCAAACTAGGGAGTCTCCTGTTAACCATGCAGGCGGGGGGCAAAGAAGAAAAGCGCAGGGACTCACCAGGCTCTCAGCAACCACCTGACAGAGAAGGAGAGAGGGGGAGGGGAGAGAGGAAGGCAACAGGGTCAGAGATCTGCACGCCGCACCCCTTGATCAGTCCCCCCACTGACAGAGAGGCAGGCGAGGGCGGCAGAAGAGGACTCCAGTTCCCCGGGGGGTGGCGCCCACCTTGCTGGCCACTGAGCCTTGAAAGGCTTGGCCCTGCCCTTTGCTGCTCTGGCTGCGGACAAGCGGAAAATGCAGCTGTGGCCAGGGCTGGTGATCCAGCTGTTAGCCCCATGGCCCCTCGCTGCAAAGGGTCCTGGAGAGAGAGGAGTCGGAGGACCCTCCTGTGGGTCAGAGAATGGGAAGCGCAAGGGTGGTGGATTCCTCAACGGGGCAACATCAGTGCTATTCACAGAGCGCCCTCAGTGCCCCCAGAGTGTTGCAAACAGGCTGGAAGACAAGGCCCCTGCTCTGAAGCATTTGCAGAATCAGGGCAGCCCCTCGCTGCAAAGGGTCCTGGAGAGAGAGGAGTCGGAGGACCCTCCTGTGGGTCAGAGAATGGGAAGCGCAAGGGTGGTGGATTCCTCAACGGGGCAACATCAGTGCTATTCACAGAGCGCCCTCAGTGCCCCCAGAGTGTTGCAAACAGGCTGGAAGACAAGGCCCCTGCTCTGAAGCATTTGCAGAATCAGGGCAGGTAACACAGCTTCAGTGCTCCGGTACCGGAGCTGGCTGGATTACAGCTAGCGGGGGTCCATCCCGGTGAACTGCAGTCGCCCCGAGTGCAGGGGGACATGCCCGAGAGGCGGGTAGGGCCACCTGTGCACATGCTAGAGAGCAGCTGGGGGTGCAAGGCCGAGCCAAAGGAACTGAAGGAGGTCGGGGGGGTTGCCTGGGGCGGGGCAAAGTGGCCCACAAAAATTCACAGGGACGGTGGTTCTCTTCTGCCAGCCTCGAAAGCCTACTCTGCCCCAGAGGTGCTGGAATACGGGGGCTGCCGCACCCCCAGACCTGAAGGGGGTCCCATTATAGACAGGGCTCACAGTTTGGGTCAGCGGCTCTCAGCACCCCTTGGTACAAACGGTTCCAGCCCGGGGGAGGTTAGGCGCTGGGCCGGAAGGGTGTCGGTCTTGGTATCTGATAAAACGTGAGCTAATGCCAGTGCTTTCCTCCAGGGCTGATGCGGGGTGATTTGGTTGGATGGGCCTGACAAGGGGCATTGGGGTTTGAGTTCCTCTGCTCAGCACAGGTCCTTTTAGCCACTGATCGCTGCCTCTCTCTTTCTCTGGTGCAACCAGCGGCTGCACAGGCCAGGCGTGGGAAGGCGCAGCAGCATGCAGCCGGGACGCTGCCCTGCCCCCGCTGGTAGCAATGCTCCAGGAGAGCAGCGGCCGCCGTGCTCAGGGAGGGCACATGCCAACCCGCGCCAAGCACAGACAGCGGCCACGGGCGGGCTCACAGAGCAGGTGCTGCAGCAGCAGAATCCGCAAACAGCCCGTGGAAGCCACCTGAGAGAGCAAAGGCCAGCGAGAGTCTCAGCGCCCCAAGCAGGATCAGCGTCCCTGCAGCCAGACTGGGGTTCCGGTCTGAATGTGGCTGAACGAAGCACGGTGCAGCCTCCAGTGCTGGTGGTGCAGTGCGGGGAGGGGAGTGAGGATTGCCCTCAAGGGGTTGAAATGCATGCCTTGGGGAGGTCAGAGCGGGGCCAATGGGGCTCGCTGCTTGACCCCACCAGGCCGACCTCGCCTGGTTCCAGGTGTGTAACCAAGCTGGCACTCAAGCGGTGCTCACTGGGGCCAGGGATCTTTCAAGAAAGCCCAGGATAGGTTCCGGGGTTGGGGCTGAAATCATGAATTCAGCGGTTCCTTGTTGCTTCTGATTAGGAACCAGGTGGCACACAGCCATGTCAGCTGCATTTCATGCTGAGATTCTGCGTCGCTGCCAGCAAATCGCGAGGGATCGGGATTGAAAGCACAGCCTATGCAAAGCAAAAGCACCGAGTTTCTCCCGGGGGCAGCCTTCTTAAGCGAACTGCAGTGGTAGTGCCAGCTGCTGGACGGGCTGGGGGGAGCCAACAGAATTGCCAGGCCCCTGGGCAAGGCGGAGGAGGCAGGTTCCCCGCTCTCGGAAGGGGCGGAGCCTCAAGTGGAAGGGCGGGGCTGGGAGTCGCCAGGCCTGGCATGCAAAGCAAAAGCACCGAGTTTCTCCCGGGGGCAGCCTTCTTAAGCGAACTGCAGTGGTAGTGCCAGCTGCTGGACGGGCTGGGGGGAGCCAACAGAATTGCCAGGCCCCTGGGCAAGGCGGAGGAGGCAGGTTCCCCGCTCTCGGAAGGGGCGGAGCCTCAAGTGGAAGGGCGGGGCTGGGAGTCGCCAGGCCTGGCAATGCTGCGCACTGGGAGCTGCTCTGGAGAGGGACCTTGTCTTCTCTCCTGCGTTGTAGCCACCCCATACATTCACAGAGCTCTGTCCATAACAATGGCCAGTGGGGCTGACAGCCACTGTGGGCGGGGGCCAGGTGTGGGGGAGCCCAGCTCTTCATCCCCAAAAGGGGCGGAGCCTCAGGTGAAAGGGGCAGGGTTAAGGGCAGTCAGCCCCGCCCCCAGCCATAAGAGCCACGCAGAGTGGCAGAGCAGAGCTCCCACAGCAATTCAAAGGGGCCCCGGCCTCCAGCCACCAGCAGCTGGAAGCTCCAGACTCCTTTGAAACACCGGGGTCCTGGGGCAATTATTTCCTGCCCCGCATCCCCCGCTGTCGACAGGCCTGGCTCCATGATGTTAGAACTAGGGCTTGCAGAAATCAAGGGGGCAGTTTCACCCAGACACACATTGCCTTGTCCCAGAAATGGTTCAGTTACTGGGCGTACACGCACACGCGTGCGGACGTGGGAGTGGGCTTATGTGCAGGAACATCCCAGTCATCACGGCCTGCCTTTCCAAACAGGGGGGCCCGAAATTGGACACGGGATGCCATGCTTTGATTTGCAGAGGTGCTGAGCGCTGGCCTCCTCCGAGAGTGAGCTCCGTGCTAAGGTGCCGGCTATGGGGCTCTCTGTTTGAACATTTTGCCTCTGACGAGTTTCCAAGCGCCGCAGCTGGTGTCCTTCCAGGCAGCCGGGACAAGCACAGCCAAGACAGGAGACAAGCAGGACAAGAGCCGGCGAACACACAAACCAGCCTGACATTGTCATGGTACCCAGGAAGGAAATCCCTCCATAATGCTCTGCAAATTCTATCCAGTTCAACGCCAAAGCGACCTCTTGGCAGACGGACACATATTCCAGCACTTCATTCACCAGCCACTTCACTAAGGCTATGTCCAGACTGCAGGCTTCTTTCAGAAGAAGCTTTTCCGGAAGAGAGCGTCCACACTGCAAAAGCGCATCGAAAAAGCGACCTGCTTTTTCGAAAGATAGCGTCTACACTGAATAGACACGCTCTCGCATTTCAGCTGTGATTGCTATGGGTGGAATGGCCACCAGGGCACCTGTACTTTTTCCTCTTCTTCTTTTGAAAGAACTCCCTCTTCCCCATCCACACACGCCTTTTTGCGAAAGAGCTCTTTCAGAAAAAGGCTTTTTCCTCGTAGAATGAGGATTACCAATGTCATAAAAACCCCTCTGTTCTTTCGATTTTCTTTCGGAAGAACGCGATTGCAGTGTGGATGTAAGTGAAGATTTTCGGAAAAACTCTAGTGTAGAGCTAATTCTGCATCTTTTTAACTAATAAAACAATTTAAAATCTAAAAGGAAAAACACTCCCCCTCCTCGACCGCCCCAGTTCTCCTAGCAGCCCAGTGAGATTTCTGCAAGCCCCAGCCAGACTATCGTCATGGAACATGTCACGGAGATTTTCCCTTTTGCCTGGGAAACGAGCAGCTAAGCAGTGCGATCGGTTTGAAGACCAGGTGGAGGGAACCCCCCGGGGATGGAAAAAGGAAGCAGCCTCACTCAGGGTGGGCGTACTCTGATCCAAGCCACAGAGCAGAGGTTGGTAAAGAACATGCCCTCCCACTCCCGTGTCCGTTTGCACACGTGTGTGCTCACACAACATCACCCGCATGCACGTGCCATTCTCACCTTGGCATCTTCGTGAGCTTGCGCGAGGTCTTCTTCTCCTTCGTCGCGATTGCCCTGGGTTTAAACAGGACAGACATGGAGAAAGGGTCTTGGAAGAAAAGTCTGCTCAGAGCAGGAAGGTCCATGGTTCTGCTGCTGCCCGCAGTGGAAGAGACTTTCACAACTAGGTCGCGTGGCTGGTAACCCAAACTGCGTGGTGACCTCTGCCTGGTTCCTAATGGACACATGTCTACATCCCAGAGGCACTATGGGGCACCCGGGGCCTGCACTCCCTTGTCACTCCTCCAAGGGGTCTCGCCAGAAGAAGCCTGAGTTACTGCCGCCTGTTCGGTGTAGAATTAGAGGACTGGCGTCCATCTGTGGAGCAATATCTCTTCAAACCACCTGGCTCTCTGTAGCTTCCCTGATCTCTGCAGGGTCCGCCTATTTATCAGCACTTTGCCTGGGGCACAAAAATGCCAGGGCAAGACCATCCCATTGAACCAGGCACAGTCAGATCTCTAGGCCCACCCCAGCATGTGGGCACCAAGTGCATTTCCTCCAGCACTGCTTGACCGGCTGGGACAGAGCATCACTGTGTCCTGTTCCAGGCTGCCTGAGAGCCCTGAGCATCTCCTGTCCACCCCTCAATTGCTTTCTAAGAAATAAGATCCTCAGTCGGGGTCAATCAACACAGCAGCATGGACCTCCGGGCAGGAGGTTGGCTTTGGCAGAGTGCGTGAGGATCCGGCCCAGGGACTCTAGAGACATTTTTGTCTGCGTTTAGAGCTCCGTTTCCCCCATGCCCTAGAACTTGGCCTTTTCCACAGTCTGCACTTTGCTTAGATGGACATTTGGCTGGTTGCTTGCCTATAAGCCACAGGAGCTGGAAGTGAAAGATTTGAATGGGTGCAGCCAACCGCAGGGCAAACACAGAGACAGCTTAGGCCAGCTCTGCACTTACCCCCGAGATCGATGCTCCGGAGATCGATCTTCCAGGGTTCGATTTACAGGGTCTAGAAAGGACCCACTAAATCAACTGCTGATGGCACCCCCGTTGACCCCGGTACTCCGCAGGGTCGTGAGGAATGAGGAAGTTAACAAGCGAGTTTCTCCCATCGACCTCCCACAGTGGAGGTCGAGTTGCAGAATTTCGACCTAAGATACTTTGACTCCAGCTATGCTATTCTCGTAGCTAGAGTTGCATATCTTAGGTCAACTTTCTCGTGTCGTGTAGACCTGGCCTTAGATTCTGCCTAAGAAACACACCCATGTCCTCGTCATCTCTCGGGGAGAAGGGGGATGTTAAGGAAACTGGAGTTTTGTGAGGGGTTAAATGGAAAACCAGAGCTGCACAAGCAACACACTTGGGACAAAAAGTGACCCTACCAGAGCCAGGGAGACAAGGATCCTCTTGAAATGTCCTGATGTGTCGGAGCTCAGCGCATCCTCCAGAGATTTGTGATAGGCTGGGGAGAAAGGACCGCAAAGGTGAACATAATAGGAATTTGCCGTCCCTCCCGAAGAGTCAGCCCCTGCCTTCTGCTCACACCTCTGTTTTAGCTCAGGTAGCAGATTGCACTTACCACACGGGCCCTCGGGATGAAATGGGGCCTGGGCACAACAGCTCTTGGAGGCCCAGTTTTGAACAGAGCAAAATGGGGACTCGGAATTGGAGGCTGGCTAAAAAGCCTTTGCTGGATCCCACCTGGTACAGGACAAGCCCTTTGTTCCACAGATTCCACGATGAAAGGGTCAGGTTGAGGAGCGTGGGCAGAGGAGAGGGCAGGGGTCGGACATGAGTCATGGAACTGGGCCGTGGTGAGGTTCTGGGTGGGGCACGTACTGCTAGTTACCCTGGAGGGAGCTGCCTTGGGTCTTTAAAGCAATGAGTGTTTGGGGGAGGAGAGCAAGGGCTTGGACGGCCACTCTCTCGTTTTCTATCCACAGACCCTCAGGGAGAAGCAATCGTGATGGGACAAGAGACAAGAGCCTGGGTAGATAGGCAGGGAGCCTGTTTCCTGAGGATGGACAAGCAGGAAATGTAGGATGCGTGCCAAGCCCCACATATGTGTCTGTCACTCCTGAATGGAGGCAAGGGCCACTTGGGAGGTGCTGGCCATGCCTAGAAGGCTCAAGGTGCCTTCAAAAAGCAGTGTGGGGAACCTAAGCCCGGAACAGCAGCGCTACATTTCTCTAAGGTCTCTCCTCCAGCTGCCTTACCTGCTCTATATGCCTCGTTAATTGCCTGGATCTCCCGATTATTCCGCGTGGTCAAGATTTCAGTGAGAATACTCTCATCCGTGCCAGCTCCCTGCAAGCCCAAGAGAACAGCACGTCCCTACGTTAGCACCGCAAGGACAGGAGGGGCCTTCCAGAGGGGAGCTGCTGGGGTAGTTAGGATGAACCCCCTCCCC